GAGACTGTGATGCCTAGCCCTCTGCGAGGGTCTGGACTCCCTTCATGGATTTGCCAGTGTCTCAGTTGGGGCCCTATTTTCCTGGGGCTGGGAGGCCCCTCCTTCCCAGGCACAGAACATTTTCTGTTCAGGCTGTAAGACTCCAAGGTGGGCTGGGGTTCAGCTGCAAGGCTTGGCTCCTTGGGAGGGAGGGAGGGAAGGCAACTGTGACGTGATGGGGAAGCTGTGATGTGCACTGACTCACAGGCTCCTCCCACAGCCCTCAGAGACGCCGTGCAGCACAGAACGGGGTTCAGGCCAGGACACCGCAGGGGCAGTGGGGCTGGCTGGGAGTGTCAGGCGCCCATGGCTTTGAGGCTTCTCGGAGAAAGAGGAGGGTTTGCACAAGCAGGGATGCGTGGGGAGGGGCCAGGTGACTGAGCGCCCCATCAGAGCCCAGAGGGGCCCTGTGTGCTCTCACTCAGCCCTGTGTCCTCTCAACACAGCAGGGCAGGTATGCAGGCTGCCACAAATGCCAGGGTAACTCTTGGTGGCCTCATAGAGGACAAAGGTGGAGCCTGAGGTGGGACTTCACATGAATGGGAGAGTGGCAGGACCTGGCAGGAAGAGTGGGTGGGCCATCTGGGAAGTTGGGGATGGTCAGTGCAAGAACTGTCTCTGAGCTTTTCTGACCTACCAGCAGAGGGGACCCTGTGGAGTCCACGTCTGAGCTGGTCTTAGGGTGCCCTCTGCTGGTGGTGGCCAGAAGCTCCGTTCCTTTGTATGGAGAAAGGACGGCTGTCCCCTCCATGTCATCACCCCTCACAGTATGTCTCTTGGTGCCTGCCTCCTATGCTGGAAGACCCTCTGCCATGTCCTTGCCAAGAACCTCAATGTCCCAGGACCCTCCCAGACCTGCCCCTGACACACCCAGCAGTCAGGTCAGCCTGGGGTCTCCAACGCTATATGGACGTTTCTCTGAGTGCACACACTTTCTTGCTTCCCATGGGTGCAATGCCAGGCATGCCGTCTACCCATAGCAGGGGGTGTGAGGGTGAGTAACAGTGAGTCATGGCCGTGCGTGCTGGCAGCCTTCCTGCCCTTCTACTCATGGTCTCGGAGGCACCAGCAGCTCACATTTAAATCATCAGCTTTCCTAAGCCAGGGGCTGGTTGGCCATTGTAAGCTGAACTGTATAAGACAGACAGTGATGTGTGGCCTTCGTGCCCGGGAGTGTTGAGGGTCCTGGCCCAGGCTGCTCTTATGCAGCAGAGCCAGGCGCATGGACCTGCTGAGGACACTGGGGGGGATGGGGACAAGCACCTCCTGCTGGGGAGATGCTGTGGGTCTTCACACTCTGCTGGTGTGTGTGCAGACCTCAACCCTTCCCCGCCCCCANTCCATGAGTGTGACTGCTGTGAATCCCCTCTGGGCCACCTCATGCTCTGACCTTATCACCTAAATGGATTGTCTTGCGATGTGTCTCCATTGCATGGAAACAAGAGGTTTTCTTGGGGACCAGGGAGTAGAGCTTTGGTCTGCAGGGCGGCCAAATAGCCAGCTGCCAGGAGCCCAAGAATAGGCAAGAGGGTGGGAGGAGGGATGGGCAGGGGGTCCCTCATTGTTCCTGGCCCACCTGCTGAACCAGTGGAGCCCGCTGAGTCACCCCCTCAGCCAGGGCCTCTCTGGCAGGCAGTTAGGGATGGCCTACCCACACTCAGCCAGCTCTCCTGCGGTGCAGCCCTTGCTCCAGGGCACGGAAGTGGGAGCTGGGCCCCTGGCCTCCTCCAGAACCAGAATGAGCCAAATCCAGCCCATGCTTGGAGCAAAGCCAGGCCCACCCTCATCTGGCAGCTGACTCCTCCACCTTGGTTCTCACCTCAGCCCTCTTCCTCCTTCTCCCCACACCCACCTGGGCCTTTCTTGGAGACTCTTCCTGGTCCCACCTGGCAGGCCCTGTTGATTTGTTTATCATCAAACTCATTTCTGTACCTGAGGAACCTTCCTGCCCCTCCTCCACACACAGAACTGTGGTCCTGGCGTCCTTATGTGTGTACCTTATTCTGCTCAGGCTTCCATAACAAACTGCCATCGACATGGGAACATAAATACCAGGCATTAATTCCTCACAGTTCTGAAGCCTGGAAGTCCAAGATCAGAGTGCCAGCAGGCTCAGGGTCTTGTGAGGGCCTGCCCCGTGGTTTGCAGACGGCCACCTTTTCACTGTATGTTCACATGGCCTGTTCTCACTGCATGCACATGGAGAGAGATCTCTTTCCTC